CATTTTCTTTTCCATTATCCCAATATGAACCCTAAACCCTAAACCCTAAACCCTAAACCCTAAATAGTAGTTTCCATTTTCTTTTCCATTATCCCAATATAACCCCAATGTAGCCTATATATCCCAAGGGGCCTACCCAGCAAAGCAAGGCCTGAGCTCCTTTCGCTTCTTGAGGCTCTCATTCTGTCGCCGAAGCTTCTCCCGGGTGGAAAAGCGGAGCCCTGCGGATCGAAAACTTGCTTGTGGATAAACTCCTTAAAGGGGGGTTCTATAGGGGATGATATAGGGAACTACTATAGGGGTTAATAAGGGGGAACGTACTGGGAGTTCAGTACAATGCAGGTGTCAAAGCACATCGACCCCGATGGTCAACACTGGCTGACGAACTGCTCTACACAAATGGTAGTTTCCCAAAATAGGGGACCCCAATTTTGACCCTAAAATACTAAAGTCCTTATTATGGGGACCCTCCCCAAATTGTACCCCTAATTTTGGGAAACCCCCAAATGGCACCAGCGTGTCCTGTGGTGCCGCACTGGAAAGGCAGCCCGTCAAAGACCCACTTCAACATCACCTGGGCCATGAATGCAGGTGTCGAGTAAGAATTGCTGACAGAAACCCTGCTACAGTCGAATAAAGGAATGCCAGCTCCTTAACTTGAGACCTGCATCTGAATCTGGACTTAGCAGACTGACAAACAACCTTCCGCGATGTCTCTGCAACAAGTCTGAGGGCTGGTGATGCGCGCCTTAAGTGAGGGTTTGCCATTGGCAGCTTGCGATTACTGCAGCACAGCAGCGTCGACAGCCAAGTCAACCTGCAAGTAACCTCAGATGAGCGCGCTGAAGACATTTCGCTTTGCACCTTCTTCGTCCACTCACACACCCACAATGCGCGTATGAGGAACGCCTACTGAATTCATTCAGTGGATGTTTTTGTGTGGCACCTCGACCTTTGCTGGAGATCCGGGAAAGTGGGAGCTACCGAGCGATCGCGGGGCTTGGCCAAGGAACTGAAGCTGTGCGAGACCCGCTGCGCCAGGTCCACTGAACGGCCGGTAGACCGGAGCTTCTCCTGATGCAAAGCTCTGGAACACCTTGAGCAGCTAACAGCTAACATCACTGGCATGCTTGCTCAGCTGACTCCTCCAGCATGAAGACGAACTGCATAAGCAGCAGCATCTCACCTGCTCAGATTCTTAAATGTTTGCGCACACTGGACATGAAAAAAGCAGCAAGAAGTGAGAGTTCACACTAAAAGCCCACCCAACCCAACACAAGGCAGCGTGTGGGGCAAAAACAGAATCTTGCAGACATGTTGCCGGGAGACATCGCATCCACGTAGACCATTTGCTCTCCCGAAGCACCCAGAATTTTTCTGCCCACCTTAACGACGGCAGAGGTGACCGTGTCATTTCAGGACTGCTGAATCTGATCCACTGCTGAGCCATCGAGCCGGCTGCCGCCGCCGGTCACGGGCCTCGCCTTTCCTGAGACATGGATGAATCTCTAGTAACATGAACTGCCATGTGGTATGACTCAGTATGACCACACTTTGTGTGTGTGAGCTCGGTTGGACTTGCATGTTGTGCCAATGCTGCATTTGACAAGAGCAAGTTGCTGCCTCTCGTTTGCTTCGTGTTGGCTGACTTCGGGGCTGCCGAGCTAGTCATGCTCATATTGCTCGTGCCAGTATCTCGTATGTAGGGTCCAAAGGCCTTCGTTTGGGGCATGTGCGCAAGCAAACATGCAAAGATGAGAAGAATACACAGAGTCACTCAAAAAATCACCCTCATGCTAGTGTCTAGACCTTTTAAAGCACAGGCCTTCACACAATCAGGAACGACGCGGAGATGCGTGTCGCAACAGTTAGGCCAAACGAGGGTGCTCGCGCGAGCTTGGACATTCATTCGTGCCCCATAAGCTTCCATCAAACCATGCCCCACATAGCTCAGTTAGGGCAGCAGCAAAGGAATTCAAAAGATTACGTCTCTGCAGCCTCTAGATTGATGGCTCCATGCTGCCTCTAACGGCATCCAGCTGCATCCGAGTATCCGTGGCATCTGGGACATGAACTGCCGCAGCCATGCCTGGCCAATTTGCAGAACCCTCAAAGTTACAAAGCATGAGCTGGCAGCGTTTGAACTTACTAGAACTAGTACTACTACTATCACTATTACTCTTATTCTTGTTTTACACTTACACTTCCTCTTCCTCTTGTTATTACTCTTACGATTTCCATTACTACTAATCTTCCTGTTGTTGCTCTTATTACCTCTTATTATTATTACTGCACCAAAAGCAATGGAAGACCAGCCTCAGAGAACCCGAGCGAGGGCATGCCCTGCAAAAACTGCCTCCCAGCCCACAGCTTCAAACGAGCTGTAGTCTCAACTCCTTATTAAAGGGGAGTTGTATAGGGGATCTAGGGTTTAGGGTTTAAACTCCTTCAAGGGGGTATCTATAGGGTTTAGGGTTTAAGGTCTAAACTCCTTACAGAAGGGTCCTACAGAGGACCATATACGGCACTATTATGGACTATTGTACGGGTTATTGAGGGGAATACTAAAAGTTTAAGACTCTTGCTCAAATGGTGGAGGAAGCTTGGACTGTGTTGGGGTCGATGGGTTTGGTGGTTCTGGATGGCGAGTGCTGGTGCATGGCTGCGCATTGGGTATTTGATTGTACAAACAATTGCTGATCATGCGCGGGCCCTGGGCTGCAAGAAAGGAACTTACAGCGTCTCAAAGTAGCTCTCTTGGATGCTCATGTCTATAGAACCCTCTCTAGACCTAGTTTCCATTCGCCATTATCCCTACCGCGAAGCCCTAACCCTTAGTAGTAGTTTCACGTTCCATTTACCTTTCAAATGCCTCCATAGTTGGAGCATTCGCAGCCAGGCTTCCCCCAAACTACCGGCCTGGTTGGGACCAGCGGCATGTCCTCATCGTCGGGTATTTTTTCAACCTGCAGCGTATGGCAGTGGACTGGAATTCAAGTCTGAAAAGTCTGGAAGCAGGGTGAAAAGCTGGATAGAATAAATGCAACTGTAAGCCTCATCGTCGCTGACAACCGTCGTGACGTCAGCGTCGCCTTCCACTTTCACCTTAGGCTGACACGGCTTCCGGCAATTTCGGGCATGGGTCCCAGAGAGTACGCCATAGTTCCAGAAACTTCTCCTATCTACCCCATATTAATAATCATTATAATTATGGTCATATGAATAATGGTAATATTATTAATAATTATATAATAATTATTAATAATATTATTCAGGTTCGCTTAAGCAAGGTCGCTCGTTTCTTTGCAGGCTCTGCTGCAGCTTCCTTGGAAGCCTCCACCTCGGCCTGTGGAACAGAATCCAAGCAATCGTGTGGACTGAGGCTTGGGTGGAAACTACTATAATATTGGGGTTATATTGGGGTTATAATGGAGAATCAAATGGAAAAGAAAATGGAAAATGAAATGGAAACTACTATTTAGGGTTTAGAGTTTGGGGATATTACCCCCAATAATGGAGAATCAAATGGAAAAGAAAATGGAAAATGAAATGGAGACTGGGTTGTATTAGGGTTATATTTGTTGCTTCAAGAGAAGTACTTGCGTGCCTGCCGCCGTGGATCCGGAGGCCGCGCAGGGCCTTTGCCCTGCAGTTGTCGCACGTAACATGATGTTATTATAGTATATTATAAAGAATTATGGTATACTGTATTATTGTATAGCACAGTATAGTATAGTATATAGTATAACATATTATGGTATACTCCATTGAGGTAATATTAGGTGAGTCACCAGTTGCCTACAGCCTTTGCCCGCTAATGATCCTATGCATTCAGCGCTGCCTCTGCAGCTTGCCGTGGATCCTGTGGCCTCACTAGGGGGTCTATAGAAGTTCTATAGGGTTTTTTGTTGAAGCAAGCGGATTTTTACAACTTGCCAATCCAGCATTGGTTTAAGGTAGGAATGATCTCCACTTTCGAGAATCCAGATTAAGAACACTCTACTGAAGCCAGACATGCCCGTGCACTCAAAGTGAGGCCTTCACACTGCACCCCCGGCATCCTTCTATAGGGTTTAGGGTTAGGGGTACTGCCTATATAGGGATACTGGAAAACGAAATGGAAACTACGATAATGACTTGTTGCGTGAGACTGGGACTATGCAAGAAGAAGAGCTCTGGCTACGGAACCGCTCTGTTCTGAAAGAACACGTACTTGTGAGGGCTGTTTAGTGAATACTGTAAGTAGAAAACCATGCAACCAAACCGGCTGAGTGAAGCACTTCTTGTCCTGCAATCGCGGGTCCTGCGGAAAGCAAAAGGTTCTTGTGGCAGCGGCAGCTGCAGAAGCAGCTGAAGCAGCTGTAGCAGTCATTGTTGTTGTTGCTGTTGTTGTTGTTGTTGTTGTTGTTGTAGCGTTGCTGGTACTGGTACAAGTACTCGCACTAATTAGCAGTGGGGGTGGCGGCAGCAGCAGAAGCTTCTGGATCAGCTGGGCAGCAGCACTGGCGCATCTCAAAGGTTGAACCGCAGCACTGGCGCAGCTCAAAGGTTGAATACGAGGCGAGCGACCTTGGAGTCGTTCCGCTTCTGCTCAGAACGCAGCCGTGGGTCCTTGGCAGGCACGGGGCCTTTGGTTTTACATCTCCTGATGGAACCCATGCCCTTGCAAGAGATCATGGGCCCCTCAGAACAAACCACTGCCAAAAATTCTTGCCAAAGCACGCGCTCCGACAGGATCTGCTGATGCCTGCTGCTTGAGTCTAATGGCCCTTGGCCACAAGCCACAAGACAAACTTGATCCGGCGTAACATCTGGTCACACGACATCGGCATGAAGCCATTCGGGAAAGGCCACAAACTGCCAAAGAAGTGAGGCCTTCGCTGCAGCTCCTGCAAGCAGGCAACTTAACATGAATTGCCTCCAGAACTGTAATCGACTCGAACCCAAATCCCATAGCACCTGCTTGTACTTGTACATCAGCTCCATTGCCTGACGCACGAAAAGCATGAACATGCTTAGAGGACACAGAGTCCTGGTGCTTCCGCTTGAGTCTGTTTACACCGATGATCACAGCTTCCTGGCAAAAGCTTCGCTTCCAACGGTTGCAAGGCCTCCTGCCGCTGGTTCTTCTGCAGTAAGGCCTTAGGATCTCGAAAAAAGGCATAACATGCCTGATGCCACTGCTTTAGGCAAGGGGACCAAACTTCGAGACACATTAAGCTCATCTGCGCACATCATTGCGCGATGCCACCAGGTACCAACTCTGGCCCGGGCGATAGCCTTGCGAATTTCGGGCACCTTGGCTGCAGGGATGAAGCGAAACTCAATTTGCTCTGAAGCCATGCAAAGCTCCATGAATATCAAGCCCTGCGAGGATTCAACCACCCAACTCACGACTCAAAGGAAAATGAATTATTTCGTAGGCAGGCGTGGCCTTCATGATCTCCTGCAGCTCATCTGGTGGAGTTTGCTTGCGCCTTAGTTCAGTGTAGTTTAAGCGTTTGCTGCTGACCCTTAAAGCTTGCGCGCTTTTAGAAGGTTTGCCTTGGCCTTGACAAGGCGGGCACTCAATGATCTTGGTCAGGATCTGCAGCCGACGCTCCACTATGTCATCGGACTCCCCTGTTAAGGAGGCCTCGGAGCGGAAAGTTCAATTGTAATCACTATTCTTCTCATTGTTAGTAATATGACTATTCTTAACATTGCCATTACCATGGTTATTAATATTATTATTGTCACCCTCATGATAACACGCAGCAATCTTCTGGCCCAGCTTACTGGGCTTGGGGGTTCCCATCTTATTGCAGGCCGGTGAATAAGGGCAAATCGCATAGCTGAGGCTAGGACCAATGAAGCTGGAGCATCTGCCTCGCAACGGCTGCCATGAAGTAGGGGTTTCCTGAAATTAGGGGTACCCTTTTTGGGGATCCCTATAATAAGGACTATAGTATTTTTGGGGTCTATATGGGGGTCCCCTTATTTTGGGAAACTACCAAGTCCAAGCGTTGGTATGTTGTAGTCTAAACTACCCTAAACACCTTCAGACACCCTTTTACACGGTATCTCGCCTGTGGGGCCGTCGCTGGCGGCGGCACAGCCTGTAGGATGCTTCTTGGATATCTATGTCGGTTATGGTCGAAACTCCTAGCATCCCATTTAAGAACCCCTATCATAGGGTTTAGGGTTTGGGGCCTAAACTCCTAGTATCTCCCTTCATAACCTGGGGTTCAGGGTTTAGGGTCTAAACTCCTAGTATCCCCCTTCATAGCCCCTATAATAATCCCGTATATAACCCCTTGTGTAACCCCCCCTAAGAATTTAGATTATGGCTTGCATTGGCCTGTGATCGCCATAACTTGGGCCCTAACTGCAAGTGGCACTTGAAGGCTTATGCCAGACAAGTACAGCATATCCATGCTCAGGACAAAGCGAGCGTCTCCTCATGTGAGCTATAGTCTAAACTCCTAGCATGCCCCTTAATAAGCCCAATAGTCGTCCCCTATATGGGTAGTTCCCAAATTAGGGTCCCATGTTGGCATCCCTCCCCTAATGTTAGGTGCCGGAATAGAATCTTTCTATAACCCCTTTTAAGGAGTTTATACTACAGCTGATATCAAGCCCTAATCCCTATCCCAGTTTCCATTGCATTTTCCATGTTCTTTTCCATTTCACTCTCCATTACTGCTCATGTAAGTGAAGATTCAATTTGCTACCCAAACCATAAACCCTAAACCCTAAGCCCCAAACCCTAAACCCTAAATCCTAAGCCCCAAACCCTAAACCCTAAACACTAAGCCCCAAACCCTAAACCCTAAACCGCTACCCCCAGCAAGCTGATACCGTCCCTGACGGCCTGCGCCGTGGTAGGCGGAGGCAGTGGTGCAGCCTGCCCGATGTGAGCTATCGTCTCAACTCCTTAAAGGGCTTTATATAGGGGATTGGCTATATAGGAGATTCTAGAGGGTTTAGGGTCTCAACTCCTTAAGGGGTGTTTATAGGGGATTGGCTATATAGGAGATTCTTGAGGGTTTAGGCTTTAGGGTCTCAACTCCTTAAAGGGGGCTTTAGATAGGGGATTGGCTATATAGGAGATTATAGAGGGTTTAGGCTTTAGGGTCTCAACTCCTTAAAGGGGGGCTTTATATAGGGGATTGGCTATGTACGAGAAGAGAGAGGGTTTAGGGTCTCAACTCCTTAAAGGGGGGGTTTATAGGGGATTGGCTATATAGGAGATTATAATTATAGAGGGTTTAGGCTTTAGGGTCTCAACTCCTTAAAGGGTGGCTTTAGATAGAGGATTGGCTATATAGGAGATTCTAGAGGGTTTAGGGTCTCAACTCCTTAGAGGGGTGTTTATAGGGGATTGGCTATATAGCAGATTATAGAGGGTTTAGGCTTTAGGGTCTCAACTCCTTAAAGGGGGACTTTAGATAGGGGATTGGCTATATAGGAGATTATAGAGGGTTTAGGCTTTAGGGTCTCAACTCCTTAAAGGGGGGCTTTAGATAGGGGATTGGCGATATAGGAGATTCTAGAGGGTTTAGGGTCTCAACTCCTTAAAGGGGTGTTTATAGGGGATTGGCTATATAGGAGATTATAATTATAGAGGGTTTAGGCTTTAGAGTCTCAACTCCTTAAAGGGGGGCTTTAGATAGGGGATTGGC